CCTCCAAACCACTCGTATCTATTAAAAAATGACTCAATAATATCAAATATTGCTAAAGAAATTTATTATATTGCATAAATTAAATTTCCCAAAATTTCCTCCAAAAAGTCAAAAATATCGACACCGGGCCCGCTTGGTCAAAACCCGAGGTTCAAACCAAAATCCATTTACCCATTCACCTCCGAGACCGAATATATAATTGGTTTTGGAATCCGACCTCAAATTGAGGTCTAAATCTCCAAATTTCCGAAATTTCTAGTTTCTACCCTAACCCCTAATTCTATCATGAAAACTCTAGATTTTAGCTTGATAATTCAAGAAATGTAATGGATAATTGAAAGAAAATAGTTTAGAGTCACTTCCAACACTTTGGGGAAGAAATAACTCTTGAAAAATTGTCTCACACCGTTTGGTTTTTGAGAAGAATGAATTTTTGGCTAAATCCCGTATTTGGATTCTGTTAAGTGCTGGGCGACGGTGTTCATCGCGTTCGCGAGAGCACTGTCGCGTTCGCGAAGAGTATAGGCTGCCAAGCCTTAACATTTGCGAGACAATTCTCGCGTTCACGTAGGCTACCCTTCCCTGGTCTTCGTGTTCGCGAGACAGTGTTCGCGATGTAGAAAAGGCTGACTCCCCCTCCCCAGTGCCTAACACTACGCGTTCGCGATGGGCTTGTCACGTTCGCGAAGGGTAACGCCTCCATCGCTTCGTGTTCGCGACCAAGACTTCGCATTCGCGAATAAGAAATCCCTGCCTCATCAGTTTACTCTTCGCGTTCGCAAGAGGACCTTCGCGAATGCGAAGAAGGACATGCTAGAACCCAGACTCTGCAGAAAAAAACCAGATTTTCCTAAGTCCAATTTCATTCTGTTAAGCATCCGAAACACACCTGAGGCTCCCGGGACCTCCACCAAACCTACCAACCAATCCTATAACACCATACAAACTTAGTCGAGCCTTCAAACCACATCGAACAACACCAAAAATCATGAATTAAGCACGGATTCAAGCTTAAGAACTTAGAATTTTCCAAATTCTACAAACGACATCGAACCACGTCAAATCTAGTCCGAATTACCTCACATTTTACACACATGTCACAAATGGAACTACGAACCTATAACCACTTTCGGAAATCCATTCCGAGCTCGATATCAAAATTTTCACTATCGGCCGAAATCGCCGAAAATCTAACTTTCGCCGATTCAAGCCTAAATCTACTACAGACCTCCAAAACACATTCCGGACGTGCTCTTCAGCTCAAAATTACTCAACGGAGCTAACCGAGTTGACGGAATTCCATTCCGGATCTGTCTTCACACAGTTTCGGCTACGGTCCAAATTCTAAGACTTAAGCTCTCATTTAGGGACTAAGTATCCCAAAATACTCCAAAACTAAAAATCAATCATCCCGGCAAGTCACAATAGCAGAAATAGATATGGGGAAAGTAGTTAATAGGGGTTTGGGGCTTAACTCTCAAAACGGCCGGCCGGATCATTACAAGACAATGAGAGTGGATTTTAGATTCCGATTGTTCATATCATATGTGTCCTAGCAGAGACTTGTTTTCTACATATGATTCAGTTGCAGGTGGAGTTGTCCAACTGGGTAACAATGTTACTTGTAACGTTATTGGCAAAGGTACAATTCAGATTAGAATGTACGATGGTGTGGTGAGAACTCTCACCGATGTTAGATATATTCCTGAGTTGAAGAAAAATCTCATATCTTTGGGCACTTTAGAATCCCTTAGGTGCAGATTCATCGGTGAAGGTGGAGTTCTAAGAATTTTTCAAGGTGCTCTTGTGATCATGAAAGCACATAGATCTGGTTCGTTATATACTTTATTGGGCTCCACTGTTATAGGCCCTACTACTCTTTCGATATCAGACAACTTGTCTGATTTTGATGACATTAAATTTTTACATATGCCCATCGGGGCTTTTGCGGAGAAGGTGAAGCAAATTTACTATATCAGCCAAAATTAGGCCAAGGTGGAGATTTGTAAAAGGTGGCCTTAAATTTAGGCTTTTTATTTGTGAGCCTTGTTGGCACATTTGGAGCCTTTTATTTAAGGCCTTATTGGCCAAATAAATGACCTTGTATTTTGAGAGGATGTGGCCAATTGTTGGCCAAGCATTTCTTTCTTCTCTTCCTATATAATGAGGACTCTCTACTCATTTGGAAATACACCAATAAGACTTGTCTTCAATTCTTATTTCTTCCTTTCCTCCTTTATTAAGAGTATTTTGTATGAGAGTTAGTGTTGGGAAATACTTGTGTGAACCCTTTCTTTTGAGTGATCTTGTGAGGTTATTCCCTTAGGATATTTGGAATTAATTAGAGTGCTTACTCTAATTTTGTACTCTCTTTTGTACTCTTATTGTTATAGTAAATTGCTCCTCTCCGCTTGTGGACGTATGTCACTTTAACCAAATCACGTTAAATTGGTGTCTTCTTTATATGTTTTAATTGCCGTTGTTATCAACTTCCATTATTTTTGTTATTGCCATTATATTGTTGATTGGCTATACTCCGCACTACCCGGTTCCCGATCCTAACACTTAACTAATTGAGTCATTTTCCTGTTGGTAAGGAACCTTACCATTTTCACAAACTTCAGAATTGAAATCCTGTTGTGGAATGCATATAGAGGATTGCTATTGCCGAAGCAATCAATTTCGAATTCTGAAAACACAGGTTTTAGAGTGTACCAGAAAGAGAAAAAGGACAGACAACAAAGAAGAATCGAGAAAGGACAAGCAAAAAAGAATGACGAGAAAAGAAGGCTAAGATGACTCTTACAGACTTTCATGGTAGTTCTATTTATTCCTGGTCTCCCCTTCCTTCTGCACCCAGCTTGTAAGTGTTCTCTTTGCCCCTATCCATCTGTTTTGGCGATTTTCTGGAAAAAAAGTCACCTTTTTTTAACTAAACTGAAATTTTAAGCCTTCTGTTGCTGAAATTAGTGAGTTTGATAAAATTAAACAAATTCTTCTTTAGGCGAGACTTGCAGTTCCCCTTGCCCTCAAATATAGTTTACGAGGTAAAAAATTGCAACTCAAATCGATTCAAATGTAAGAAGAGTGTCATGAAAGGCCATATTTTTTAAATTTGAAATGCCTTTGTTTTCAAGATGCTTCCTGTGTTGTTGTCCGGTTATATGAATTTTAAAGCAAGTCTCTTGAAACAACTAGGGTCTCTTTGGGGACGTTCTCTTCTGATATCTGTTGACTTGTATATTTGTTCTTTCAGAAACTTTTCAAGTTGGCTTGCTTTACAAACTGAACCAAATATGTTTTCAACTTAGCTTTGTTCATCTAATGATCTACATGCAAGATTTAAATTAAATGTCTGCAATTGTAATCCAAGTATGTGGGGAAACTCCCACAAGCATTTTAAGTGTGCGGGGAATCTGGTTATACATGAAAGTTGGAAGAACCTAACTACTATTTTACCTAACAAAGGACTTAATCCAATATTCTGAGAACAACTGAACAAGAACTATAATATTTTACTATTTAGGTCATATATTTATATATGTTTGTATCTATGTATGTATGAATGTGTGGCTTTATAATTGCATGTGTATTTTGAAGAGGAAATACTCTGTTTGATTTCAACTGTATGATTTGACTAAAATAAAAAGAAAAAAGAAAAAAAAATATGCTTCCTCACGAGTGTTGTTGCAGGGGAAGACTGAAAGTTGTTTACTTGGAGACATTTTGGTGACAATGGGGATTATCAATGCTGAAATTCCACTTCAAAAGATCTAACTTTAGCGTCACTAACCACTCTACGAGCGGTATAACTTTACAAAGATTTCTTCCTTTATGGTTCTATCAAATATTCTTAATGCCTTTTTTATTGTTTTCCTCTTTAATTAGTGATTCTGTATTTCCACTTGTAGGTCCATTGTGATGGGGTCGACCGTTCTTGAGGAAGCCCAAAGGTCATCTATAGAAGTACTCTTGAACATGTAGGTAAGGGGTTAACTTTCAATTACGGAGCATCTAATCATATCTTATGATATCAAGATGAGTGTTTTATGCTATTTCTCTGAATGATAGTAATCTGATTTCTGTTGTCATTATGTTTGGTTGAAACAGAGTTCCTTCATAAAGAAGGATGATTGCATGGTTTTGCTTGTGTTAGTTCTATATATCCTCCGTTTATTCAAAGATAAAAACTGACATATCAATATTTGATGCCAGGATTCTCACTGACATCTCAAAAACATAACAAAGTGATTGCTCGGCCTTGGGAGATCATTATTGTTTGGGACGATGTTATCTGTTATCATATTAACTCTCCAACCAGACACAGTTGCTTTGGAGTATCAATATCTTCTATAGAATTTCCTCGCTAATATTTGATTGCTGGAAATGGATAACTGTACTTTTGAGTGTGGAAGTGGACCTGTGGTAGTATTTTCAAAATAAATGAGTCAAAGTGTTATGCCTTAAACAAAGTGTCAATATGCATGTAAAGAGTTTTTACTTATGGCAAGCCTTCTAGAAGCTATGGACAAATGTGTCCTCTTGCATGATTGTTCATAGACAAGTGTTAAACCACTTGTTAAGATTATCATCATTATTCTTGGTTATATAGTCACAATCTACCCATCCATATGATCAACAAAAGAAAGAAAATTATTTCTCCTTTGTAGTTCAATCATTACCTAGCTACATAACCATTATAATAGCAATTATTAAGCTTTCTTCTATAGTCCCATTTCGGCCAAATTCTCGTTCACAAGTTTTTTCTTTTACAATTTTTTAACTTGCTGGATTTATTATTAATATTTTGTTTATTCCTGCATCCCCTAAATAAATAGATATGAGCTTGTTTAATTATGGAAAAATATTTCACATTGCTGAAATAGTTTCTTAGAACAGTGCCCAGCACGACTCAAGCCAATTCATGTATTTCCGCTCACAAATATTATTACAGTATTATTATCGACTCAAGCCAATTCGTGTATTTCCGCTCACAAATATTATTGCAGTATTATTATCGTTGTTTTCCCGTTCATTTCCCTACAGGACCTCTGTCATAACTTTGTAATTGGAATTTGCTCACTGATCAAAACCCATATAGTAATCTACTACTATATTAGTGAGATTATTTTTCTATTTGTTTCCAAGTAGTCCTATAAATATTCTCTTCTAATGCATCTTTCTGGATCTCTTTGTATTATATTGATTATTGGGGAAAAGCTTTTGTGAGTATGTGGAAATAATCTTTTTTCTGTTGTTTGCTGTTTATAGAAAGCAGTTATTCTGGTTTAGTTTTTCATCTTTCAAAGAATTGAAAGTACAACATATCTTTTTATTTTCAAAGAAAGATAGTTAGTGATGAGCGTTACCTGATCACCCACTCTCCCATTCTGGAAGAAACTGTTTTTCTTAAAAAAAGGAACAGTATGCTAAATGTTCATATAGTTGCTGATTTGTTCTCTATAGTACTCTAGACAGCTTAACATCTAGAATTGTTAGAATACGCACTTCAAACTTTTTACAACATAAACCTTATTTTTGAGAATTTCTAGATGTGATATTTTATTCAAGAGTATGATTGTGAACTGCTAATGATTCCTGTGGCCAAGTATATGGTTTGTTGGTAGACGTACAGTCTGAAAAAACTTCTTCATTACACTCTAAATGCTGAAAAGCACAATAACGAAGATTATAAGAGGTGTTCCTCTGTTTTCTGTTGGCTCACAAGTTTAAAAACTTGGTACTTATTTGGTTAACAACAAAAGCTTACACATATACTCTTTGACAACACCAACGTCGAACACAGACGTAGTGGAACAAACTTTAGAAAGAAGACTAATCAACATATTTCAATCAATTAAATCGAATATCATCGATTCAAACGTGAATCACATAATCCAAGTATATATTTTTACTATTAATATTAAGATTTGTTGCTCATTAATCGTCTTTTATTTCTCAAACCTCTTCATCTTCTACACTTAATTAATACTCACAATTCTCCTATACTTTTATCTCCATAACTCCCAAATGTTTAATGTGTAAGTTTATTAAACTTATCATGTTCCTAAATGTATTCCTATGATACTTCTTTTCTCTAGGTTCATCTATAATTTTATATTTAGTCTTTCTCTCCTTCATAAATTAGGATTAGTTATCTCAATTTGCAGGATGACTCAGAACAGATGGATGTTTTTGGCTTCATTTTAGGAATATAGAAATACAAAGTTGAGATATTTTGGTATTGTTAGATGGGAAACAATAATTGCGAGAATTTGGTAGGAGGCCCAAGGTAGATGAAAGAGATTTATAGGTAAATACAAAGAAAAGAGGACACTCCTTGTATCCGGAATCCGAATAATATTTTGGAATATTGTTTTATTTCCTTGATACTGTAGATCTCGGTCGTTAATGTGATATTAGTGATATGTAGAGCGTTAGAGCTAATTAATCCGAAAAGATGCTTATATCTGTGATATAATCTATCTATGCCATTAATTCTTATTAATCTATTTTACAAATTTACTAAAAATATCTAAAAAGTATTTTGTAATCTTTTTAAAAGACCGTGCGAAAGCGCGAATAATATCACTAGTTTACAATAAGCAAATTAAAAATTGGTATAACACAAAGACTTGAATACAATAAATTATTAATTTTACCATCATACCATCGTAGTCTTTTACATCTGATTTGAATTCTACAAGAACCGAGAAAACATCACACACAGATAGAGACTGATTTGAATTCTACCAGAACCGAGAAAACATCACACACAGATAGAGGCAAAGGCTTTGCAACCAAAAAAAATAAAGCTATTCATAGAAAAAGATAAGTAAACAATATGAATATGAAAAGTGACTCGTCGGAAGATGAATAGATATTGCACGTTCACTATATTATATAAATCTTTGCTGAACGCATGAAAGAAACATCAAACAATGAAGAGCTATGACTTCCATTACTTAATGACCTGAAACGTTACATTTTGGAACATGAAACCTCTTGGAAACGGTCTTCTCCTTTAACTGAGTAATTGAAAATTAATGAGGGAAAAAACTGTTGAGTTTTTTGTTATTTAAGATGAAATAGTCTTAAAATGAGGGTGAATGAAAAATGGAGGGAAAATAAAATTTTTGAGTAAAATTTTAAATTTCCCTCTCTTGACAATGAGACATTGTCCCATATTGGAAGAGGAAAAGATTTTTGGTGGGTA